TGTTATTCAGCCTGGTTCAATGTGCCCCTTTTTAACTTTGAGCACCCGCCCCTTTAAACCTCTCTGCACGGCCCTGTCAAGGTAACATTCAGTCCTGCCCTGACTCTTACATGACACATCCCTGCTTTATTTAAGCAAACCCAGTTCTTGTAAAAATCAAGCACACATACTAGTAGAATACTACGGAAGCGTAGAGCTGCCTCCCAGGCAAAAGAAAAATAGAAGTGTATCACATTATAATGTGAAAGGTTTATTGTTCTAACAAGATACTTTTCCTGTTTGTACAATATACTATCATGTTTGTACAACATAATATCACGTTATTACAATATACATAATTATCACGAACGGGATAATTATATTGTACGAACGTGATAATTATATTGTACGAACGTGATAATTATATTGTACGAACGTGATAATTATCACGGGCTCTTTGGCCTAGATTGAGTGGAGCGAAGCTGCCACTCCTCCACATTGGAAAGAAGTCAGCTCAGGGGAATATTGAGAAGTTCAATATGTAGCCCACTAAATTCTGTTAAATAAATAAATAAATGAATAAATATACCTCAATCATACACTATGAAACATTTCTGAACCCTTTTGTGGTGATCTTCATGATGGTGTAATTTACAGCCCACAGCACATTTAAACAGACAAACATTTTTACATTCCAGATCTAAAAAAACAACAACACAGTTTCAAAATAAATGAAAGCTGAAAAGTGTGTTATGTTGTGTTAGCTAATTATTGTGGAAAGTAAAATCACAGTGATTTAGTGATCAACAACATGGGTTCAGAATTTTCAAACTGATTTATCCCGTAAATCCCAAGACACTGTGCTCGCCTGCATAAGCTCCCTTTGTAGGATAAAATTATTGGTAGTAAATGCCAGCCATTTAAGCCAAAACCAATAAGAATAATTATCATAAGAATATGTTTAAAACATGTCAGCTTAGCAGCTGTTTACATCATGAGAGTTTTCAATAATAGGTGTAGATTGTACCACCTGTTAGCTAGCTGTGTACACAAAGGTTTTATAATCTAGGGTCAATAGTTTTGGTCAAGTGTTCACATATATCTCTTCGTCTGTTGCTTTATATCTTATAAACCTGGGGCCCGGCTGTTTGCTGCCTGTATCAGTGTTATTCAATCAGTACTCATGTGAACATACAGTGCTGTGAAAAAAGTATCTGGCCCCTTCCTGATTTCTTAACTTTGCACATTTGTCACACTTAAATGTTTCACAGCAAGCAAAGTTTATTATTAACTAAAGATAACTTGATTAAATACAAAACGCAGTTTTTAAATGGTGATGCATTATCCAGACATGATTACTGCCAGAGCAGATGAATCAAGAAATTACTTGAATAGAATCAGTTAAAAGATCTCGAAAAGCAACACGTCATGGCTCGATCTAGAGCAACTCAACGGAAGATGAGAAACAAAGTCATTGACATGCCATCATCAGTCTGCAAAGGGTTACAATGCCACATTGAGACCATTATCCACAAATGAGGAAAACCTGGAACACTGGTGAATCTTCCCAGGTTAAATTAGTCCAAGATCACTGACTCACCCAGGAGCTCACCCAGTTTTCCAGAACAACATCTAAAGAACTCCAGGCCTCACTTGCCTCAGATAAGGTCAAAGTTGCTGATACAGTTACAAAAAAAAAAAAAGTCTGGACAAAAATAGCATCCATGAGAGACTTCCAAGGCAAAAATTACTGCTGAACAAAAAAGAACACATTTACCCCCCAAAAAACCCATCATGATTCCCAAAACTTTTAGGAAAATATTCTGTCCACTGACAAGAGAAAAAAATGAACTTTTTGGAAGTCTTGTGCCTTGTTATGTCAGATATAAAACTAACAAAGCTTTTTATAAAAAGAAGATCATACTAACATTCTAACCCAATTCTGCTCTCTAGCAGAAAATCCCAAAGGATAATGTCTGACCATCAGTTTGTGCCCTGAAGCTCAAAAACACTTGGGTTATGCTTAAGACAATGATCTGAAACAAACCAGCAAGTCCACCTCTGAATGGCTCAAAAATATAAATAAATAAATAAATGAAGGTTTTGGAATGGGCTACTTAAAATCTGACTGAGATGCTTTGGCATGACCCTAAACAGGGCTGTTTGCGCTCAAAACTCTCCAGTGTGGCTGAATATAAAAAATTCTGCAAAG